AGCTTGTGGGTAGTAGCGTACATCCAACAGTAACATGTGGGTAGTAGCATACATCCAACAGCAGCTTGTAGGTAGTAGCATACATCCAACAGCAGCTTGTGGGTAGTAGCATACATCCAACAGCAGCTTGTGGGTAGTAGCATACATCCAACAGCAGCTTGTGGTAGTAGCATACATCCAGCAGCAACTTGTGGTAGTAACATACATCCAGCAGCAACTTGTGGTAGTAGCATACATCCAGCAGCAACTTGTGGTAGTAGCATACATCCAACAGCAGCTTGTGGTAGCAGCATACATCCAGCAGCAGCTTGTGATAGTAACATACATCCAGCAGCAACTTGTGGGTAGTAGCGTACGTCCAACAGTAACATGTGGGTAGCAGCATACATCCAACAGCAACTTGTGTGTGGGTAGTAGCATACATCCAACAGCAGCTTGTGGGTAGTAACATACATCCAACAGCAACAGACATACACAGCAGCAACTTGGGTAGTAGCATACATCCAACAGCAGCTTGTGGTGGCATACATAGTAGCAGCAGCTTGTGGTAGTAGCATACATCCAAGCAGCCTTGTGGTAGTAGCATACATCCAACAGCAGCTTGTGGTAGTAGCATACATCCAGCAGCAACTTGTGGTAGTAACATACATCCAGCAGCAACTTGTGGTAGTAGCATACATCCAGCAGCAACTTGTGGTAGTAGCATACATCCAACAGCAGCTTGTGGTAGCAGCATACATCCAGCAGCAGCTTGTGATAGTAACATACATCCAGCAGCAACTTGTGGGTAGTAGCGTACGTCCAACAGTAACATGTGGGTAGCAGCATACATCCAACAGCAACTTGTGGGTAGTAGCATACATCCAACAGCAGCTTGTGGGTAGTGACATACATCCAACAGCAGCTTGTGGGTAGTAGCATACATCCAACAGCAGCTTGTGGTAGTGACATACATCAAGCAGCAACTTGTGGTAGCAGCATACATCCAACAGCAACTTGTGGTAGTGGCATACATCCAACAGCAACTTGTGGTAGTGACATACATCCATCAGCAACTTGTGGTAGTAGCATACATCCAGCAGCAGCTTGTGGTAGTAGCATACATCCAGGAGCAACTTGTGGTAGCAGCATACATCCAGCAGCAACTTGTGGTAGTGACATACATCCAGCAGCAACTTGTGGTAGTAGCATACATCCAGCAGCAGCTTGTGGTAGCAGCATACATCCAGCAGCAACTTGTGGTAGTGACATACATCCAGCAGCAGCTTGTGGTAGTAGCATACATCCAGCAGGTGCTTGTGGTAGCAGCATACATCCAGCAGCAACTTCTGGTAGTAGCATACATCCAGCAGCAACTTGTGGTAGCAGCATACATCCAGCAGCAACTTGTGGTAGTGACATACATCCAGCAGCAGCTTGTGGTAGTAGCATCAGTGTTTCCGGTGAGTTTCGAATTTACCAGTCCATGGGACTGGTAAGCCTCAAATATACCAGTCCCTTATTATTTTCACCAGTCCACTTCTTTTCCATGTTAAATAAAGATAACAACAAGAATGTGTGTGTGTGTTTGTGTTTCATTTTTAACTCTTTCAACACCAGTCAACCAGAGGCATTTACTGCCGTGACACCGAGTTCCCAGAGACCCTGAGGTCATAGATGAAGCCTATGTTTATGAAGGAAGTTATAAGCTTGTAAAACGTTATTGCTACTACATCCCATACACCATTTAAAAGATCTAATCCTACTGTTGATAAATATGAAGTTTATTTTTATAATATTATTCAAATAATACAACTACAACTTAAATAAATGTATTTTTGAATGAAAATGCAAGCTTACATTTATAACGTCCAGATAAACCACTAAAAAAGCAAAAACTATGGCGCATTTTTCCATTTGTGACATGTGATAACATGTCCGTGCCTTTTCTTTTATATTTTCATTTTTACGCCATCAGAAAATTATTATTAAAAAGATTTCTTAAATAATATGTATGGTCGCCTATTTCCGATATCTGTGGCTTTCCGCCGGTAACATGACATAACAACGGAAAATACCTCCCGCTGGCTTTCAGATGCATAACATGCGCGGCGTGAATCGCTTTGATGTCGGGCATCGCTCAAAGCTCTCATGGCTCTGAACATCAACAATATCACTGTACCCTTGCCAAGAGTATTTTCACAGTTGTAAGAAGCGCATTTTATTGGATAAAGATTGGTTTCTAATGACGCTTTTCGCCACAGTCTGCTATAAGGGTCGTGGTTGGTCAAAATCGACACGTGACCTAAGGCAGCCAATCATATTACGGTAATGGATACCGCCCTCGCTAACTAAAACCTTCAGATTTAGACAAAAGTTTTGGGTAAAATAATGCTATTCTGAACATATTAAGCAAGAAATCGCTACCTGTAACGTGAATTATGGAACTTATTGGACGATCGTGCTAGGTTATGACCTGTGACAAAAATGCTTCATGTATATATTTTCGCATTAAACATCGTGTCGGTCCGTGAAGATTGAGGCGGCGAGAGCGAGATGTCACTGGTCAGTGACTTGACTTACATTACATGATCGCACAAAAGATGGAAATAGTAATTTTATATGTACGTTTGACAACTTTTATGAATGTTGTTGTTGATTTTATTCATTAGTTTATTCAATTTATTTAATGAATTCCTCGAAACATCGTTACTTTGCTCTTTGACAATGTTATTGTAGACCCGCTGCCGAAGCATGTGTCCGAGAATCGTTGTTTTCAAGCACAGGGGCTTGTAACGCTAAAACCTGCCATCAAGGCATATACTATCACTGACGGGTCTTAGTACTGTACTAAGACCCGTCAGTGATAGTATATGCCTTGATGGCAGTTTTTAGCGTTACAAGCCTAAGACCCCGTCAGTGATAGTATATGCCTTGATGGCAGTTTTTAGCGTTACAAGCCCCTGTGTTTTCAAGAACATTGCGAAAAATAGTTTATAATTTTAATTCTGCTGATAATATATGATAAATTGAAATTTAATAAGTGTTTTCAGACATTGTGAAATGTGATAGATTTGATATATGAATCAAAAGTCAGGTAGGTTCCTAAAATTATGTCTCATTTTGACGTGACTACTGCCTGGCCGATTTATCGGCCTCCGGTATCTGGGGACTCATAACGTTGTGGCCGATTATTCGGCCTGCGGTGTTGAATGGGTTAATATGTCCATTCCCCATCGTCAGTAAAGCTGTCTTACTATTGGCCCCGATAGAGTATTGAAATCTGATGCATTATAACCTCACGCCAAAATGCTCTCGCCTGATCGAGGCTAAGCGAGACGTCCAGCCAATGACAATAATCGCTGGGACTGTTACTAAAAATAGACACGGAATTCCTTACACGTATCGCATATGGTGCAGATCGAATTTACATGGAAGTTTCCTTTATCTAACAGTTGCTGGTAATTTGTATTGCCAATTTGGAGGAAATGATTTAACCGGGTGTATTTATTGCCGGTCCCCAGGACTTGTTTGCCATAAATATGCCGGTCCTTTGATTTTTTTACCGGTAAAATACCGGCATATGCCGGTAAACGGAAACACTGAGCATACATCCAGCAGCAGCTTGTGGTAGTGACATACATCCAGCAGCAGCTTGTGGTAGTAGCATACATCCAGCAGCAGCTTGTGGTAGTGACATACATCCAGCAGCAGCTTGTGATAGTAACATACATCCAGCAGCAACTTGTGGTAGCAGCATACATCAAACAGCAGCTTGTGGTTGTAGCATACATCCAACAGCAGCTTGTGGTACCAGCATACATCCAACAGCAGCTTGTGGTTGTAGCATACATCCAGCAGCAACTTGTGGTTGCAGCATACATCCAACAGCAGCTTGTGGGTAATGGCATACATTCAACAGAGATCTAGATGTATTGCAGCTATGTTGGTGTCTCACATACTACAGTGTCATGAAGATCTAGATGTATTGCAGCTATGTTGGTGTTTCACATACTACAGTGTCATGAAGATCTAGATGTATTGCAGCTATGTTGGTGTCTCACATACTACAGTGTCATGAAGATCTAGATGTATTGCAGCTATGTTGATGTCTCACATACTACAGTGTCATGAACATCTAGATGCATTGCAGCTATGTTGGTGTCTCACATACTACAGTGTCATGAAGATCTAGATGTATTGCAGCCATGTTGGTGTCTCACATACTACAGTGTCATGAACATCTAGATGCATTGCAGCTATGTTGGTGTCTCACATATGGCAGTGTCATGAACATCTAGATGTAATGCAGCTATGTTGGTGTCTCACATACTACAGTGTCATGAAGTTCTAGATGTATTGCAGCTATGTTGGTGTCTCACATACTACAGTGTCATGAAGTTCTAGATGTAATGCAGCTATGTTGGTGTCTCACATACTACAGTGTCATGAAGTTCTAGATGTATTGCAGCTATGTTGGTGTCTCACATACTACAGTGTCATGAAGATCTAGATGTATTGCAGCTATGATTGTGTTTCACATACTACGGTGTTGTGAAGATGAGATGTATTGTATCTCTCCTGGTGTCTCACATGCTGCTGTGTTGTGACGCTGCTGCTTCCTCAGCCAGAAATGACATTGTCGATACTGTGAGATTTCTGGACAGAAACATCACAGCTGTTTGAAACACAGAAACAAGATCTGTTAGAGTATTGATTTTCTGGTAGCCATGCAACAGGAATAGCTGCAGAGCAGCAGTTTTATGGAACAGATAGAGATTTTAACTTGGATATGCAGTGGCATCTGAAAGTAAACGGGTTAAGTCTAAGAAGGTGATCAGATGTCTTGGTGAGTCTAACTAAAAAACAACTTACATGTACAAGGATATTTTGTTGTCCCAAAAAAAAAAAGAATGATACCATTTAAGCATGGGTGAAATAATCACTCAGCATTGATAGTTTGTTGGACACCATTTTTGTGAGTAGGCTACCACATTAAAACATATATTTTTCCTCTACAGTGGTGGTGGTCACCGGCGCCTCAGGCTACATTGCAACACATGTGGTAAAGCAGCTGCAAGAAGGTGGGTACCGAGTAAGGGGCACTGTGAGGAGCTTGCAGGATGAGAACAAGGTGAAGCACCTTCAGGACCTGTGTCCAGAGGCTGCACACAAACTGGAACTTGTCGAGGCTGACCTAACCAAACCAGAGTCATGGGAGGCGTAAGTGGCATTAAACATTTAACAGTGCTCAGGTTTTTGTAGCTTTTAGAATGGGCAGCACAGTAATACAATGATACATGGTGAGCTAAATCAATATGATTGGCAGCATAAGCCAGTCAGCAAGAGGGAAGGTCTGTGTTTGCAAAACTAGCTGAAACATTTAACATACTTTTAATACAGTTCTTACTTCAGACAGATGAAAGTCGTCAGTTTTGCAGTGTTTTTAAATGAACTTCACCCTTGATAAATAATGATTGGACTTAACACTGCCTCACTAACTCTGCCGACAGAAGATTAACAGTATGGGATGTGGATAAATGAATCGAATATAGAATATGTTGTCAATGGTTTTGTGTATTTGCTGAAACTGTATAATGTGTTCATGCTTCCAGGGCTGTCAAGGATGCTGAGTTTGTGATTCATGTGGCAAGCCCCTTCCCTGCCCAGAGTCCCAAGGATGAGAACGAAGTTATCCAGCCTGCAGTTGATGGGACACAGAGTGTGCTGAAAGCTTGTGTCACCACCAAAACTGTCAAAAGGGTGGTCCTCACAAGTTCTTGTGCTGCTATTTCCTGTAAGATAATCATCAAAGTATCATCAAACATTGTGTTCTCATTTCCAAAATATTTTTAGGCAGTGTAAATTACAGCAGCCAGCTTTTTTTGTAGGTCTCAATTTCTGTACAAACATAAGTTTATTAGCATGGTTACTTATCGGTTTACTCATTGGTCTCATTTAAGCATTATTGAAATAACTTTTACACTACAGCTGAATTCCAAGACGCACCTATCACCAGTCAGACTTCTGATAACTGTAGCATTGCTCTGATAACAAAGATTGTGTGTTGACAGGGGGACCATCAGCCAATGCTGACAAGGTATGCACAGAAGAGGACTGGACTGACCTGGAGAAGCTGGATGCCTATGCCAAGAGCAAGACGCTGGCAGAGAAAGCTGCTTGGGACTTCGTTAAAGAGTTGCCAGGTTTGTAGGGCTGCTCAATATAACCGGTTTACCCGTATTAACCGGTTCAGATATGAAAACGATACAATTGCGATACGCTGATAGAAAACCGATATTTTGACTTGTATTCGGAAAACTTCTTAACACTCGGAAACCTTGATGATTGTGGCAATTGTGGTAATGGTGGTGGGAATGAATGTGGTGAAAATTACATTAAATATTATCTATATTCTTATTTTGTCATGATTAAAAGTTTTTATTATAGCTTAATGAAGCATAGTGATTTTGTTGCGTTTTTGCTTTATAAATAAAACATTAACTTGATCAGTAGTAGTTTATTGTTAAAAAAACCTTCTTGCAATATATTGCAATACATATCGCAATATAAGCTTTCGCATCGCAATATATCGCAATATGAAAATTCTCTGCAATACCCACCCCTACAGGTTTGTGAGAGTTAAGGAATCACATATCATTTGCCCCTAGTACTGCCAATGAAATAAATGTTGTTTATCTCTCAGCACCTTAATTAGAGATAATGGGTCTGGGTTAGAATGAGCCTTCAGTAACCCATGCTTGTCGTGGAGAGGCTTAACTAACAGGATTGGGTGGTCAGTCTCGCTGACTTGGTTGACACATGACATCGTTTCCTAATTGCACAGATCGATGCTCATGCTGTTGATCACTGTATTGTCTGGTCCAGACTCGATTATTTACAGACCGCCGCCATATAGCTGGATTATTGCTGAGTGCGGCGTAAAACTAAACGCACTCACTATTTAGAGAAAGAAGCGATTGTGATTTTGGCAGAATGATTCCAATAGTTTAAACTAGGTCCGAAAGTGAAATGTTCCTGTTGCAATGTGATTGTCAGTTTTAAGAGTTTTGTCCAAACAACATGACCTGTAATTCAACTAACTGTTGACTTCACTTCAGTCATTATCATATATACACAACTTGTCAATAGTCCACAAATAATCACTTTACCATGGATGGGATAGTTCACAGATTTTGAGGAGTTCGAATGGTGAAATATATTGCTATCAATAACTTCCATTTATCATGTTTATCCAAACATGTTAGACATTACTTAATGACTATTACTAATTGTCAATTTAGATTACTTATATTCGATGCCAGATAGGGCAGTGGGTAGTCTAGCGGTTAAAGCATCTTCTCATAACACAGAAGACCCAGGTTCAATTACCCACATGGGTACAATGTGTGAAGCCCATTTCTGGGGTCCCAAGCCGTGATATTGCTGGAATATTGCTAAAAGGGCATTAAACTCACTCACCACCGATGCCAGTTGTCCCAGATATATCAAATGGGCTGTGGATTGGCATCCCTGCATCTTCTGTCCCACAAGTACCTTGTAGCTCAGTAGATACGAGCTCCATATTGCTTTTTGAAGGATGAATAAGTGTGAATGTATTGAATGAATATGGATTGTGGGATCTTTGAGGTTGTCATGGATATATTGAAGTGACACTTTCTGCTGTCCTGTTTCCAGACTCGGACAAGATTGAACTTGCCGTGGTGAACCCTGCCTATGTAATGGGCCCTGTTCTTCATGGATCACAGTGTACCAGTATGGAGGTAGGTGTAACACTTCCATGGATAGTGGTGCTGCCTCACTACACTAGTGAGTCTTAGCACTGTTTAATCTGCAGCTAGCTAATGAAGGTTGTAGAACCTTACAGACTATTGCATCATAGAAGACCGTGCAGCTGTCACACCATTTGATCATACATTGTGCTAGTAGGTGTGTTAGTAATCGGGCCATAATATATCATCTCTGATCAGGGAACATTGCTGTGTTTGTAAGTGGTTATCAAGCAGCTATTGGAGTGTGCCATGCCTGTTTTTTCTTTGATTGATCCAGGAAGGTTACATGTATTTGTAGGTTGTCAAGTAACTAATGGATTGTGTCACGACTTTTTTCCTTTGCCTGATCCAGGAAGATTACTTGTACTTGTAGGTTGTCAAGCCTGTTGAACGCAAGCCATGCCTGTTGTTCCAAAACTGAACTTCCCGGTGGTGGATGTGCGGGATGTTGCTACTGCCCACATCAAGGCCATGGTCACCCCTGAGGCTGCAGGTTAGTGCCAGGACTGGCATCAACGTCAGGTCTTATCACTGGTCAACTAGGGTAGTAGCTTATTGTTTGAGGTAACCAAAGGCCCAGGTTTTACTCTCACCTCTGTTATTTATTGTTCAAATATTGTTATTACAGTTAAGAGTGGTTTTAAACCCAAGCTCTCTCACTCACTCTAAGAGAGACCTATGTTAAGAACAAATCATATTTCTTCTTCTTGATAAACTTGTAATTAACCTTCAGAAGATAGATTGTAAAGAGAATTGGTGTGTAGTCTTCCCATGGATACTGACTTGACATATGGATTTTAGTTTTCCTGTTGGAGAATAACTAAATAATTTGGTAACATCATTTTGAATTCCTTATAGTTGTGTACTGATGTACTTATTAGAAATTGTTATTTATTATATGTGATTTCCATATTTGTGCTCATTCAGAAACTGAAATTTCAGCTCACATCAGGTTTACAGATGATTGTCTGCCCACCAGGATCTTCAATGTTCCCAGCTCATTATGTTTATAAGTATAAATGACTGATCTATGGTTTCACTTCAGGGAATCTTAGCTGTTACCGCTTTTAAGCTGTTCTGATTCTCTTAACATATAGTTATTCATTGTAGGGCATCGCCACCTTGCTGTTAATGTTAACATGTGGATGAAAGAAATGGCGCAGGCTCTTGCTAAAGAGTTCAAACCTCAAGGTGATGTGTCCGGCAGCTGGACCAAACACTGGCAGCATGTCACTGTGTCAAGCATGTGCTTACTGATGATGTCTTGTGTGCTGCTTGTATGTGTCATGTTTCTGTCATAGTGTAGTAAGATTGTTCTTCTTTTTACAGTTTGCTGGTTTTAACATTTAACCATCACAGTACTCTTTTAAGTTGCTGTCACTTGCCAAAACATTTACTGTTCACAATGTTTGACCTTCACACACAAAACGAGTAGTCCAGGGGGGACCACAATGTTAGAGTTGTTAAGAACTTTGATAACAGGACCTTATTTTTCCTTATCCTGACTCATGCTCTTTGCTTGTCCCCTTCCTCTTGCTAACATAGTGGAACACTTGTATCTCCTTAATTGAAGCCCCTTCAATGTAAAATCACTAATTGGTACTCACCCACGAAGTTACCTCCCCGTCAGAAGCTGCTGAACAGGTGTCGCCACCCTCTGGCCTCATGCTTCACTCTCTCCTTCTTCTTCCAGTGAGCAGGATGTGAGAGCCTGTGTGTCTCCTTACACACTATATCCTTTGGTTTTTCTTAGTTAGTTACCTTTATAGTTTACTATAAAGGTATAGCTAGTATCCTTCAGTTATTTTATGCTAATAATTAATCGTGATTTCTACTGTTTATTCACGGAGTTCGCGATTGTTCAGCTAGTTTTACATTGATGAAAAACTGTACTATTTGTAGATTACGCTTTTCCGCCATGGATCCGCATGTGGTATGCCCTAGTTGTACTACTTTGTGCGCTTGACTCACGCTGCAGTTACTGCATAAATTTAACCAATTCTGCCTTTGATAAATACCATCTTTAAGCCCTTGAGACGGGTTGCAGATAGGTCACGCAAACTAGGTGTAGACATGGCCGATACGCCGGATTGCCCATCCAGTCAACTGTTGTCGAAAGTGATCCCTCCCGCCTGGTGTTCTGCTTGAGACCCCATCGAAGAGGGACGGGATGCAGTCCGTCACCTCTAAGAAGCTTAATCGCCTCTCCAGACATCCAGTCATCGCAGACAAAGTCCAAGAGGGCCTCAACGCTCTTCAACGCAGACTTCGCACTTCCCCAGGGCAGCGCCTTCCTCCAAAGGGAAATCTACGGTCATCGAACTTTCTCAGACGAGATCGCTCCAGCAGCAGAATTGGGCCTCTACGATGACCAGCCGATCATCATACCCGACATACGCCACAAGAAGCTTACCAGTGACAGCGACAGTGACGCCAGCAGAGATCAACAAGCAGCCTGATGCCTCTACACTGATGTCAGACGAGATCGCTGAGGGCCCCACCGCTAACACAGCAGAAAGGGCACCATCTACTACGCCGCAGATCATCCCAAACGATCTTATGAAACAGATCATGATTATGATGGAAGGCCACTATAGACTGGAGAAGCAGCCATCCCAGGGTCCGAAGCCATCGAAGGCTCCAACGTAGACAGCACCCCAGGGCACCATCTGTCAACGTGAGCAGCCACGACAATGCAGCCTTCGCTAAGGAAGTCACAGACCACCTCGACGGCGGACCCAGATGTACAGCTTCGCTGGCTGGCCTTCGCTGGCGCGGAAGAATCATCACCTTCTTCGGGCCATACTCAGATATGGAATCTGATCACCAGACCACACGCAAGCCTTCGCTAAGGTCATATCATCGCTCCCCAGGACCGACGATAAAGGCTTCGCTGGCGCGCTCAAGGACACACCTGAACCCAGATCGCCTTCATCTAAAAGATCAGCAAGGGACTACACAAGAGCTTCGCTGGGTTATCAGTCCCCCATAGATCGCCAAGAAGGTCAACCTATCGATATAGATCACCAAGACGATCACCTCGCCGATCACCACGCCGATCACCTCACAGGTCTGCACATAAGCCTACAACTAGATCTCCACAAGCGCCAAACGATATAGAGATAGAGCCACACAGCCCTACATCAGAAGAGCAACAACCTCTTATCTATGATGATGGAATGGAAGATGATGGAGGAATTATTTTCTCAGATGCAGAGATAAGATATTGGATGGTCAATAATCTAGATCTCTCATCACCTTCCAAGAGTGGCAATAAGGCTTAGACTTATCTGATGAAAGAAGATGACGAGATGCTATTACACTACCCCCAATCGAATTCGACATGGGCGTACCTCAGAACCTAGATACAGCATTTAACAAAGCCACAAAGGTTCAGACGCCACATCTGCCAAATTTCAGCGCCAAGAAGTTCTCCACGCATAATATGGAACCCTTCTTCAAAGCGCAAGACATCGATGAGAACTATAAGCTGATCTCCGATGCCAAGAACAAGTACTACAAGATTGATGATCGGAAATTGGTTCAGATAGAAACCATGACGAGGCGATGTTCTTCGGTCTAAATAGATCTAGAACAATAAATGAGACACTTATCTCCAGATTTCGAACACCTACCTCTGAAGATGACAGAATGATTTACTCGCCCTACTGATGCAAAAGAAGGACCAGCAGTTTTAACAGATCATCTGACGCCTGTCTCAGCAGCACTGACCTTAGCTCGTCGTCAAGGCCTCCTAGCTTCCTGCAACTGGGGTGAGAACTTTACAGCTCCACTATATACAGCCCCGTGGTCTTCCCCATCCATATTTGACGGAGGAATAGACACAGTCTCCAAAGAAGTCACCAAGGATTCTAGAGAAGTCCTGATGATTAAATCGATGGACACGCTTAGCCAGTGTCATTCGACAGACTTCACAAAGATACTCAGGAGATCTAAATTCACGGGCCTACAAAGAGCTAGAGACAGGAAGATTGCCAGTTCCAGGGAAGAGATTCTTTCGTCGCCCATATGGCAACTATAGAGGAGGGTCAGGACGAGGCAGGACACCCAGAGGTTCCCGCGAACTATAAACGCTGAAAGACAGGTTCGAACGACTGGAGTCTTCCACCCCAGCCGCTCCAGTACAACCGCCACAAGTGGGTGGACGCCTTCAACTACACTGGGAAAACTGGGGAATACTTCAAGACACCTATGTCTCCAACATTCTTCAACGCTGATTTCAGATCCCACTACAGGCCAAGCCTCCACTAACAGTCAACCCTCACAAGTTCGAGGTAGAGGCACAACAACTACTAAAGTTAAGAGAGGCGGTTACATTACTCCTAACCAAGCAGGCCATAGAAGTAATAGAGCAAGGAAACATCGAACCAGGTTTCTACTCCCCAGTTTTCCTAGTACCCAAGAAGAACTCCAAGGAGAAATACAGACTCATTTACAACATGAGCTTCTTCAACAAGACTTACTTAAACAAACCACCCAGGTTCACTATGCTACATCTACCGCAGCTACGGCAGATGATTCGCCCATGGACTACATGGGCAGTATAGATCTACAAGATGCTTATCTGCACATCCCAATACATCCCTAATCCAGGAAATACCTTCGGGTTTACGCTTAGACGGGTTACATTACCAGTGGAAAGTACTCCCATTCGAATAGCATCAGCCCCATGGTTATTCACGAGGATAACGAAAACCGATTGTTATCTATCTACATCGCCAAGGGCTACGCGAGCGCTCTTCCTCGACGACGGGATACAAGTAGATCAAGATCCACAGCATCTCAAACTACAGTTAAACTACATCATAAAGCTACTAACACAGCTGGGATGGTTAGTAAACTTACACAAGTCGGACCTAGTACCATCGCAAGATCTGCAATTCCTAGGAACTGATTTATCACCAATCTCAACCGTGATAGTCGTATTTCAGAAGACCGCTGGCTCAAGATCCAACAGATCATTCCACCAGCTCTACTGTCACCGCTACCACTTCGACAATGGCAGAGCTTACTAGGTCTTCTAACATCAGCCCAAGACTTGACAGTCATAGGCAGATTACAGTTACGTCCGCTACAGGTCTTCGCCAATACACATCTCGACGACCTACAACCATTCAGTCTACCGATACATCTCAGACCTCATCTATTATGGTGGACAAAGAAATCGAATGTCTCATGGCGGGATTTGTTTAGCAGAGCAGGAATTCAAGACCCATCTATATGTAGACGCTGCCTTCCAAGGTTGGGGAGCTCATCTCTCCAACCGACGGCATCAGGGTTATGGACTCAGCTAGAAAGCAAACTCCACATAAACGCATTAGAGATGAAAGCTGTAATCAACGCCATAAGACATTGGAGCAACATTCTACAGAATGCGACCTGATGATACATACCGACAACTCGACAGTGGCGCTTTTATGTGAACAGACAAGGCTCAACGAGATCGCCGAACCTTTGAATTTAACCTTTCAACTGTTCGAATAATCCAAGATCTAAATCTACATGTCAAAGCATGCCACATTCCCGAGCCAGGAATATACTAGCAGACGACTCTCTCGCCACATCTACCGTCGCCGACAGAATGGATGCTCAATACAGAGATATTTGCACAGATAATCAAGCAAATAGGAGCCGCTAGTAGATCTATTCGCCACAAGGTTCAACAATCAACTACCGACATTCGTGGTCACCAGTGCCAGACCCACAAGCATGGGCAACAGACGCCTAAGCATTTCATGGAAGGCCTCACGCGCGCACGCTTTCCGCCTTCCAGCAATAATACTCTAGTATTACAGAAAATCAACCAAACGCAGAGCCTACAACTCACTTTGGTCGCTCTCTATTGGTCGGCCAGAACGTGGTTTCCGCCTTTAATACAAGATATCGGGTCAACCGCACTAGAACTACCTAAGCGCCAAAAACCTGTTAATACATCCTCACACCAAACAGGTGCACAGAAACCCAGAAGTATTCAAACTTCACGTGATGGACTGTATTAAAATGTGTTTAAACAAGAGAGGATATTCTACCAGGGCGCAAAAGCGTCACGCTTTGCCTTTACGATACTCAACGCCAGAACTTGTACGATGACAAGTGGCAAAGTTTCAAAATTATGCAACAAACAAGGGTTTTATAGCGAGAGATGCTACGATCCTCAAGTGGCAGACTATTTGTGTTACTTACGCAAAACAAACATTTAAAAGGCTCGACATTGTCAACATATCTTGCCGCTTTAGTTCTGTGGGATTTCTATGAGAACGGGTGTTAAATTAACAAGAACACCAGAGTTACTGGCCTTACTACGCGCTTTCCGATTGAGGACCAAAAGCGAAATTCCACTTCCAGCTTGGGATCTGAATGTAGTTTTACGACACCTCACAAGTGAGGATTACGAACCATTGAATCGATAACGCTTGAATTTCTCTCACAGAAAACAGTCTTCCTGTTATCGCTAGCCACGGCAGCCAGAATATCTGAAATTCATGCTCTAGATTATGAGAGGATACAGTTTGATGAAAATCAAAAGACAGCGACCTGGGATTAAGATGGGATTTCATCGCTAAAAATCAACTACCAGGTCAACCAGACAGGTTATTTCACATCCCCGCGCTTATCCTCAATTCTTGGATCTCAAGATACATTGGACTTATCTCTATGCCCAGTACGAGCTCTCATAATCTATTTACGCCGTTTCCAAAACAAGGCTAAGATCGCCAGAAGATTGTTCATCCCAAGTATCGCCACAAATCAGACAGAAGTCTCTCGCACTCACCATATCAATATGGATAAGAACTGTCATTTTACGCCTATATAAGGCAGCAGGACTGGACCCTCCAACAGCATCAAATCCTCATGAAATCAGGGCATTGGCATCCACCCTCTTCTTCATGGTAACTGTTCATTGAATACAATTATGGAAGGATGCTTTTGGAAATCTAACATGGTGTTTGCTAATCACTATCTCAGAGATATCACCACCGAGGACGCCTCTGGCATTCATCATTTCGGTCCTTTGGTCCTCGCCAGCAATTGATAGTCCCTCGAGAGCGCTAATATTCACCCCCACGAGATTATTAGATATATGATACATATATTCACTAGCTTATAACTCCATGGAGTTCTAGGGCTATGTACATATTTAGCTTAGGTTATTCAACCTTAAGCTCATACTGAGTTATATTCAGTGTACAGCCACGCTAGAGTAGCAGTTTATATATATATATTGATATATCAGTATATTAGTAAGGTAATACCCCACTTATAGTGTATATATCTATGGCTTATTATAAGGAAATATCCTAAGTCTCAATGCCTTATGAAGTTCCCGCAGGGGTTATTACAATATCACTTACTTAAATCACTAATTAATCCAAAGTATTCTGTTTACCCACCACCTCTCCGGTGGATTCTACAAGCAAAAGAGCATGAGTCAGGATAAGGAAAAATATGTAATTTTCTGAGTAAAATTGATATTTTATACTTATCCTGACTCATGAGGTTAGCCCTCCCATCCTCCCCACATAACACTTTGGATTTCCTGTAAATTCAAGTGTTGGGCCTCGCAAAATCAGGAGAGAGTGAAGCATGAGGCCAGAGGGTGGCGACACCTGTTCCCGCCCTTACGGCAGGGGAGGTAACTCGTGGGTGAGTACCAATTAGTGATTTTACATTGAAGGGAGCTTCAATTAAGGAGATACAAGTGTTCCACTATGTTCTAGCAAGAGGAAGGGGACAAGCAAAAGAGCATGAGTCAGGATAAGTATAAAATATCAATTTTACTCAGAAAATTACATCTCACCGTGTCATTAACATTTGTTGGCTTCTGCTGTGTATTGATTTGCATGAATACTTGTATGTTTGCTTGCATGTTTTGTGCAGGTAGACGGCACATTTGTTATGCTCAGAACATGTGGTTTAAAGAAATGGCTCTTATTTTGTCCAAGAAATTTGATAGCCAAGGTGAGTTTGTGTATGGTACAGTGATGAAAGCACTCCCTTGTCACATCAAAGACCTTTGATTTCCCCCATGAAACAGTGTTCCCCAAGCTTTTTGTCCTTTACAAGAAGTAGTAAGCAAGTCAATCACCATCAATTAGTTCATGACTTCCTAGTCAAGTTTTTCAGAGCTTAGATTAGCACATTGTTGAAAGAACTTACAACTGGTGAAAAATCCATGCAACAAGATAGATTGTCACAGTGCAGACAGTTGTTGTTGGTAGGTGCGTTTTTATTATTTTAGATTCTAGAATGTCTGCTTGAAATAATTTAATGATGATTGCATGATCCATTTATGCACGCCAGATGTGAATGTTATATTTATCACAGCACTCAAATCTTCAAATTGTTTTCATACTAGTTGTTGTGTGAATGTTTGTCCCTGTCGTGTGTGTCCCAGAAAATGGTATGTATTTACACATAGTACCAGCTCCTACATACAAATGCATTTCCTTCACCTCAGTCTGGTATTTTGTAATTTTAAGTTTCTGGTGCAAAATGTTTAGCTTCACTAAGCAACAGAGAAGTTTACACCATATTGAAATTATGTAACTGTCAGCCGGCCAAACTGTGGGTTCATTTAGTCTGTCCAGAACAGTGATATGAAGTATAATGTTGCACCCTTCAAGTTATGTACCGGGTAATGGTCAGCAGGCCAAACTGGGGGTTCATTTAGTGTATCCTGAACAGTGATAGGAAGTATTGTATTGTACCCATCAAGTTATGTAATGGTCAGCAGGCCAAACTGTGGGTTCATTTAGTCTATCCAGAACAGTGATAGGAAGTATTGTATTGTACCCATCAAGTTCTGTAATGGTCAGCAGGCCAAACTGGGGGTTCATTTAGTCTATCCAGAACAGTGATAGGAAGTATTGTATTGTATCCATCAAGTTCTGTAATGGTCAGCAGGCCAAACTGGGGGTTCATTTAGTCTATCCAGAACAGTGATAGGAAGTATTGTATTGTACCCATCAAGTTCTGTAATGGTCAGCAGGCCAAACTGGGGTTCATTTAGTCTATCCAGAACAGTGATAGGAAGTATTGTATTGTACCCATGAGGCAAGGTATTCTCTTCGTAGGAGGGGTGTTATAGTAATACTGTGTGACTTATGGCAGTATTTGTAATGTGTTGATGGTGTGTGCAGGTTACAACGTCCCCACCATGAACTGCCCCTACTTTGCACTGTGGATGACAAGCCTGTTTGACAAGACCATCAAGATGATTCTGCCAAATGTAAACAAGGTCTACAAGTTTGACAATACAAGGGTAAGTTCTGTCTCAGTTAATAACCCTGTACCCTTGGAGTCTGTAAGATATCATAAGTGCATGTCCCAATGTGTCTGTCTGTATACATTCTTCTGAAACTACTCTTGCCATTTGCAATATTGATGATATCTGTGTAAAACAAGAGACAAAGAAAAAATGGTCCATTTTGAACTTGGTATAATGAAAAGAAGTTTTTGCAGTAAGTGTGCCTTCTTATGTGTTTCAGATGAAGGATGTGCTGGGCATCACTCCACGAGAGACGAAGGAGACGTTGATTGATATGGCCTACAGCATGATAGAGGGAGGTTTCATCAAGAAGTCCAAGAAGTATAAGGGCCCCAATGCTGGAGGAGATGAGGAGGCAAACAAGGAGGAGGAGAAGAAGGAAGAGGAGAAGGAAGGAGAAGAGAAGCCAAAGGAGAATGGAGAGATCAAGGAAGAGAAGGGAGATGATGATCTGAAGAAGGAAGATGGTGAGAAGGAGGAAGAGAACAAGGAGGAGGAGAAGAAGGGAGAAGAGATCAAGGAGGAAGAGAAGACTGAGGAAAAGAAGGAAGAAAACACTGAGGAGAAAAAGGAAGAAAAGACTGAAGAAGCTCCAGCAGAGAACAAATAAAATGGCTTTTTGTCAGGAATTCTGTGTCATCTCTACCTTCAGTGCTGCAGCCAGGTTTATGAGCAACCAATCTATTTCATCACACAAGAATCATCTGTCTTTCCAGGGAAGAGGGATGGTGATCAACACACGCTTGGAAGTCAGCATCCACACTAGCTGCTTGTGATTTCTGTAGGGAAGTTTCTGCTATGGCCTGGCTGCAACATTGTTCCATTGAAGCATTTACTGGACTAGAAAGGAGGGAGGAAGTTATCACAATGTGGCCATATTTTTGTGCAGCTTTGGTTAGTGTGACTTTTAATTCAATCCATCTCTTCATATAATTAATTAATGAAGCATATTTGACTACTGTGACCGTAGCTGCTATCACAACTTCACAGGCAGTCATTCTTGACTGCGGTGACACCACTGTACCAGCTGTTTTGTGCCTCCAGTATTCTTGAATAATATTCATGTACATCATCCTGTATTACATATGTCTAGCTCTGCTGATGATAATTGCTGATATTGCTTAATATGTCGGTTTTGATGCTTATTCTGTTTTTGTTTCATAACAAAGGTTGTTGAGCTCAATTCTAAAAAACCAGCAGCATGGACAACATCTGGTTTGATGTACCTGCTCAATCTACCAATGGTACAGATTTACAACTATTATATTGAGTGGATTCTAGATATTGCCACTTTATGTCAGTGCCATACTGTTGCTTAACAAGTATGTTGATGTTGAGAACTTTCCCTCAGATTTGTATGAAGGTGTGGTTAACACTAACCTCTGGCTGATGTCAGGTCTTCTACACCACTGTGCTTGGGTTGTGTCTTTCAACAAGTCAGTAACATGTCTGTCTGAAGCATGTTAGTGTTTAATATTACTCATGATGCTTGTGTCCAAAGTGATATAAAATTGTGCCATTGATGTCTTGAACGGTATTAAGATATGAGTGTTCCAGCTGATTGTGCTTGAAGGTAGTAGTAGTAGTGGCCAGCAAGACAGGGTTGACTAGATCTAGATGATGCTGTGGTCTGAAATCCAATGGTATGTTCATTTCAAGTTATCACAACTTAGGGATCACTTTGGGTTCACCTTTTGCAATGTTGGCAGCATTATGATAAACCAGTGCATTGTACTGATGTAGTTGTAGAGCAGAAAACCTTCCATTGCTGTCCTGCTGTGTTGATTATCAATGATGCAGAAACACAGGAGGGTACACACAGATAACAGTCTGGCAAGGCAGTCTTATATGGACAAGGATAATGGTAGCCTGAGTTTCAGATTTGAGGTGATCCCCTCTAGAGAGTGTACAGTTCCCTATATGACTGCCCAAAGCTTGTGTCGACTGCCTGTTCTGTTGAGTCAGATCACCTTAGATAGAAACGCTTTCCCTGGCCTGCAGGTTACCTTCGTGATGTCAACATGCTCACTGTCAGTGGAAGGGTTTCTAATGGGTTGCATTCCCTAATGAACAAATTGACCATGTCATGTGACCCCTAGTATTTTTAGACAACAATGACTTAATCCTGGTTCTGACTTACTGGAGCAGGAACTTCCTCAGTAGAAGGTTTTCTGTGTGTAGGAATTCTACTCCATCGAGCCACCCACCTACATGACAAGGAGCTTTCTCAAGATGTCTAGTAATTGTTCATCAGATCATGCAGTAACTGTCCTCATGTGGTAATTGTGTCTTGGCATATAATGCAATGAAAATGTGGTGATGGTGGTAATGAAAACTCCATCATCAAGCTATATCTACATCTGTTTTGTGATGTTTTTCCTATTGTACATCTTGAGAAGCGTGTGTAGATGTTGGCGTGGCTCTATGGAGAAGGCAGGGACCAAGGGGGTGTTAGGTAGTTCATAGCAGGCCTAACTAGCAATCAAGTGTTTTCACAAGAGGTGCATTACCTCTTCATGCATCCCTATTCTACTTAGCTTATTTTCTGTTTTACATATTTTCATGCGGTATTTTGTACAATATATATTCTCATGTTTCTTTACAACATGACACTTTTTCCCTTTCACCTGTACTGATGTTGATATATATTTTTTTTTATTTTGCTATCTTTTGGGCTCAGTGTTGCCAGAATTTATACACCAAAAGTCAATTGTGTCATAATTCTGGACAATACCTTCTACTTAAAGGTCCCTGTTTCATTATTGCAGTTAAAGGTTCTAAAATCTATATTGGATAAAGTCTACTATCCTTTGGCTTCTCATTTGCTCAGAGAAAGCATATTTTATCTGGATATCTTTCATCCTTAACATCTCAGTAGATGTGTAACATGGGGACATATGTCAGGTTAGTGTAACTATTTACATCCACATCTTGCTTTTTTCACATTACAAGTGGCCTTTTCCAAATGTCGGAGATGGCGTTGGAGAGACAATCGTGGTTCCATGACTGTTACATGATGGTGGGGTGAGAGATGTGTGCCCAGAAGGTGCTTTGCTATAACATATGTACAGTGCTGTTACAGTAGTGACTACATGGTTTAGTGAGTGTGCTATAGCTAGTAGTCTGCCACATCAAATATCATGCCAAACAATCGGGTTGGAGAGCTCAGCCCTCAACTACTTGTAGAAGGTGCCATTGACTGACATGCCATCAGATCTCACCTATAGTCCAGAATGAAACTGTACTGTTTCATATAACATTGACAGCCTTAAAATGTGGTTGTGGCATAATGTGGCCTACCCTTGTATCTCACCAGCTGTAGTGGAGACCTGATGGCTGTCTTCCTGCCATGTTGTAGAGCACAGAACAGTTGACAGTATTGTACTCCTATGTTCATATTATTGTAGCTTTAGTTATTAATACTCAACCATGTAACCCACTTCTGGTCAGTTTTGTATCCATGCATTATTTTTGCTATTTATTTTTATCAACTTTGCATATACCTCTACTTCTGAAGAGATTTTGGACTTGCCAATACATTTTGATAGTTTTAAGCATATTTTTATGATGTCATCAAAATATCAATGTGCTATCTTTTTATACATGTATATCATCGTTTCAAGCATTTTGGTATTTTGTATAAATTGCATTACATTCCAAATCAGGCACCAGTAGGTATTCTCATGTCCCTCAACCGGTGGATCCCTGGGACAAGCCAGCCTATCACCAGTGGTTACCAGTTAGTATACAGATGGTGTATATAGTTTGTTTAAACATTCATACTTCGGAGAGTTTAAAGAATTAACATTTAGAATCATGTTTTAGAATTCTACTTACATGTAAAGTGAGGGTGGTTAAATGTCTGATCTCAAAATGAGGACAGTAAACAGTTGTAGTGTCCTACATAATTGAGCATAATGCCTGGCTTGTGCCCAGCTATTGAGGGGCTTAGGTTGAGGTAACAGTGGTCCACCGGGCGGAGGGGGACATGCAGGGTGTCCACACACCTGGTTCAGGTTGATGTATCTTGCACTGCCAAAATGCCTTATTTGACTGGCCTCTTGCTTCCACTGTGTCAGCTTTCAGCATCTTTCTCTACTGCTCAATCAAATGTGCATATTTGTGAAATAAAAATTTCTGATTTGGAAAACATTGTTGGATTTTGTGTCAAGTCTGAACTGTATGATATTCTGGTTACACTGATACATCTAGAGTGTAATGGTTGGCCTAGTGGCCCTCACCAGGACTTGTGAAGATCTCGCTTAGGATTGATCTTTGATTCACCCATGCTTGTGGTAAGAGGCGACTAACTGGATAGGGTGGTCAGACTTGGTTGACACATGTCATTGTATCCCACTTTAGTAGATTCATGCTGTTGATACTGCCGCCATATAGCTAGAATATTGCTAAGTGCAGCGTAAAACTAAACTCTTTCACTCACCTTGCAAGTCCTGCTTCATTGATACAGCTATAATTGTGATCTATGAAACACGGGATCAACAATTCGTGGATTTTATATGTCAACGTTCGTCTGAATTCAACTTCCAGCTTCAATAAGGACAAAATATCACCAGACACACACGAAATTTGACAATAAAACTCAAGCCAACACAACCTATTGCAAATAAAGACGATTGCGAGTCTACTTCATTGTGACTTTCAGTGCAATCTATTCACAGCTATATCTTTCGTAACCTATGTACTAAATCATATCGCTCCTGTCCGAATCGATTATGGATGACCGTGACTACGTTTTGGTACAGGTATTAATACAGAGATTATTTTTATTTCATGGGTATGCATAAGTACGTCCAACCATGTCTTCTGCACTATTGTGTCACCATAGTCTGATAAAGCTCGTCCGTACTTTTAACTGTGAAACATTAACGGCAGTACAACTTCAGTAACGGTAAAGAATACATTCAATGTGGTTTCATTCCCGTTGCGATACCCCAAGGGCAGTCATTTCAGGTATAATGGTTGAAAGGTATAATGACTTTTGGTCAGGTTCCGTTTCCATTGCAATACACAGTTCTTGAGTCTATTCATGCGTTCTTTTGATCATTTGCTCAGAGAATATGCTACTTTTTATCTATGAAGTGAAAATAGATTTGACCTTAAGATATAACCCGAACGGTGGTATTATTTGAAGAAGCAAGGCCCTTAAGCCAACAAGAGTTACGTTCCTTTGAATATCAATCGCTAATGCTCCTCTGCGACAACGATCAGGGCGAAATGCCTTGCGTATCATACCAAGGCAGAACTAGAAGAGAAACATTCAAAGATAAATAGTGTGTCACCCAAAAAATCGAAAGTTTACTTAATTCGTTACACGGTCATTTCCCATATAGTATGGGATGGAGCGGTCCGTTTGAATCCGTATTCCTTATTCAACCAGTGATAAGAACCAGCAGCAGTGAACACCCTACAATGGCAGATTTCCCAATGTTTACATCGAGCGGTTATCTCAAGAAATCTAAAGAATAAGTTACCAACCAAGATACACTGGTACACGCCACTGGACACTGTATTAGGTGTCCAGTTGGGGTGATGGACACTATTGCCGCCTTACTGCTCTGTATCCGGGTGTCCAGTTGGTGTGATGGACGCTATTGTCGCCTTACTGCTCTGTATCCGGGTGTCCAGTTGGTGTGATGGACGCTATTGTCGCCTTACTGTTTTGTATCCGGGTGTCCAGTTGGTGTGATGGACGCTATTGTCGCCTTACTGCTCTGTATCCGGGTGTCCAGTTGGTGTGATGGACGCTATTGTCGCCTTACTGCTCTGTATCCGGGTGTCCAGTTGGTGTGATGGACACTATTGCCGCCTTACTGCTCTGTATCCGGGTGTCCAGTTGGTGTGATGGACGCTATTGTCGCCTTTACTGTTCTGTATCCGGGTGTCCAGTTGGTGTGATGGACGCTATTGTCGCCTTACTGTTCTGTATCCGGGTGTCCAGTTGGTGTGATGGACACTATTGTCGCCTTACTGCTCTGTATCCGGGTGTCCAGTTGGTGTGATGGACGCTATTGTCGCCTTTACTGCTCTGTATCCGGGTGTCCAGTTGGTGTGATGGACGCTATTGTCGCCTTCTGTATCCGGGTGTCTCTTGTGTGATGGACCTATTGTCGCCTCTCTGTATCCGTTGTCCAGTGGTGTGATGGACGCTATTGTCGCCTTACTGCTCTGTATCCGGGTGTCAGTTGGTGTGATGGACGCTATTGTCGCCTTACTGCTCTGTATCCGGGTGTCCAGTTGGTGTGATGGACGCTATTGTCGCCTTACTGCTCTGTATCCGGGTGTCCAGTTGGTGTGATGGACGCTATTGTCGCCTTACTGCTCTGTATCCGGGTGTCCAGTTGGTGTGACAGACGCTATTGTCGCCTTTACTGCTCTGTATCCGGGTGTCCAGTTGGTATGATGGACATTATTGCCCTGTTTGTTAACCCTTTAAATAAGGATGTACAGTTGATGTGATGGGCTTACTTCATCGTTTCAGGATGTCAGTTGTTGGTAATGGACACAATCACAGTCTTCTGTCATCCTCTATGTCTTCTGGTTTGGTTACATCCTGTTACTGCTATGTGCTTCTTGTGATAGTGGGCCCGTGAAGATCCGGGGTAGAATAGGTCTTCAGCAACCCATGATAATATCTTGTCGTACGACTTCGGGATCGGTGGTCAGTTTCGCTGACTTGGTTGACACACATATCGATGCTCATGCTGTATCACTGGATTGTCTGGTCCAGACTCGATTATTTACAGACCGCCGCCATATAGCTGGAATATTGCTGAGTGTGGCGTAAAACTAAACTCACTCACTCACTCTTGTGATAGTGTGTTATTCAGTCTCCCGGTCCCGAGAACATTGATTAATAAGGAGTCAAACTCAAGTCTAGATTGCTTCAGCTCTGGGACACTGTGAATTCTTCTGGCTTCATTTTCGATGTCGTCCATTCATTTTTAGACCAATGTTTACAAATATTATAACTCTAATTCAGGGACTATGGTGTTTCCCTAATCTGTCTCACAAACCCTGAACCAAATTATTTTCCCTTCTGCCTTGTCCTCCCTGTAATGCTAAAGCCCTATATGAAGCAAATCTAGATTTCCCCAGGTTCAGATTCCCTCTGAATCTGCCAACTCACTGGGACTCCTTTTCACTTTAATTGGGTTTATTTGTTCCTATCAAAATTATATATGTTCAGGGACTAAGCGTAAATCTGGTGTTTCCCTGTACAATTCTCCGTTGGGGTGGTGGGGATATAGTTTTAGGGCGACTTGGTCCAGCAGTAGGGTCTATTTGCGCCCAACACTTCTCGAGAAAGTAGCTAGAGTTGCTTCCCTTCAATCATTCCAACATTGAATGCCTTTAACCTGGATGTACAGTATTTGCACATTGTTATAGCACATAACAAGGGTGTAGTGAAGGTGATCGGGTACGTCACCAAGCCCTATGTCCCACTTTCTTTAGTCAGCTCTTGCACACAACACACGTATAGGTTTCACTGGATATATTATACCCAAAAATCTCAACAAAGGAGACGAAGAAAACCAAAACAAGACACAATGACAATATTTCTTAAGTTTATGGTAACATAAGATAATAACAACAAATGGAATTCAACACCTTGAATAACAATATAGTCAACACTGTTGACTTTTGTCAACGCTGAAGTGGCTTCGCATAAATAATGTCACAATTATCGAAGTGTGTGTAAATACAGTTCATTGTTATCAAATACAATGGCATAGCTGAGACATGTTGAGCCCGACATGATGTGTGCAAGATAGCACATGTCAGTGTGGAACAACACTGGTCGTGCTATTGTTGTCAGTGATTGAGTTTATCCTTCTAATGGACCACCGACCCAGTTTACATTTTCAGTTTGTACAATTTTCGCATGTACATGCGAGCGCCAGTATACATGAAACACATATGATGATACCTCTAATGACAGTATGTCCAACAGTTCATCTTTATCAATTTATTATCAAAATTTAAGAAATTCTGTCTCTTCGTTAGGGCTAAGAAAATAATGTTTTATATAATTAATGGTTTAGTTGAAGAATTGAACACACTTTCTATCTGATGGGTAACTCCAAAAGTATTTAGGTAAAATGTTCTGCCTAAGTTCGTTATAAAATGGACATATAAACCAAAAATGAAATTCAGTTTCCACTTCTGGGATAATACAAAAGGGTCACAACCTCTCCTTTCTTGGAATGTTAAGCTTTCTACCAACTGACATCAAAAGATTATGAACCGAACAACGAAATAGTGATAATGAAATCCTATAAACTTGAATATCTAACTCTGTCAAATATTTTTCAACAACATAATCTACAATTCTAATACTTCTATAGAATGACAAACTATAATATTTACCAAGTGCCTAAAATTTAATATAAACCTTTCCCATACATTTCCAAAAACATGCCTAAATAATAATAACCTTTTCACTTTTAATGCCCAACAATCTACTCCTCTTTCAGCATTGGATTGTCTGGTCCAGAAACGATTATTTACAGACCGCCGCCATATAGCTGGAATATTGTTGAGCGCGGCGTAAAACTAAACTCACTCACTCACTCACTCTTTCAGCAAGATTATACTGATACAAATAGATATGCTCAAGAATATAGTTATCACTCTGGAATGATCTTATCCAATATTTCATAATTTTGACATTCTGACTGACTTCAAGTGAGGATCTTCCCAATTCGCCTCTAGCCACAATATTAGGAACGCTTCTTTTCAAATGAAAGAGTAAAGAGAACGCTCCAATGAGTTTTGGTCTGGATGTGTAAATTGTGAAGAACCTCCTGAAATCCCGGTTCGGGGCTGATGACGTTTCTTTGCTTAAAATGTTCACCCTTGCACCATACCGTGTTTTACTGATAGTCCATTCTGGAGCTAGAATGGGATATTCGCTCACACATTCATTTGTCTCAAACCGATATATTCCTCTCCTCAACTCACATTTTTGTTCTTGTACAAAGCCCTTTATTTTGGCGATCTTGTACGTGGTATATATCACACACAAGTTCACAGCCTGACACAAGTGTAAATCGTCCCTGTCACTTGCTCGTCGTTGTGCATACTTTCACTTCATTTGCTGTAAAGCAACACAAGGTATTAAATATCATA